ATTGATAATAAGAAATTCTTACTGTAGTCAATTTTATTTTCAAGAGTATATAAAATATATGATAACTATAGGTCTATAGAGTTAATTAAATAAAAATTTACATTACATAATAGCTTTTTAAATTATTTTCTTTAATTCGTGAGCATTAAGAACCGCATTCATATATTTACAATTATCATTTAATTTATTTCATTTGCGTTAATCGAGTAAGTATATAACTTGTTTACATGCTTTAAGTTATTTGATTTAGATTCTTTTTTTATCCTCATCGATTTCTCTCTTATTATGAGCTCCGCTACAAATCATTGTATTTGATGTATAATGATAACGATAAGTTATTTATAATATTAAGCATTTTATTAAGCATATCATATGCACATGTTGTGCTGAAGTCTGACAACTGTACAATTAAGTAGTAATTCGGTTTAAAGTGACAACTTCGGAGAGTGCAACTCCGGGCATAACAAACTATATGACAAACTATCAAATTTATACTTAATTAGTTTTTTTTTTTTTGAAGTAGTATCGAGTGTTTTAGTATTTAAAGTATGTTGTAATGAAATTTCTATAAGGCTATATAACAGTTGATTAAATGGACAGGTTGTCCAGTGAAGATGAGAACTGATTTGATGACATTGGTGACAGAAAGGTGAGTATAAGTGATATCGTTTGTGTAAAATATGTGGAGTTAAAATTCAAAGTACATAATAACAATGAATTTTATCAAATATTTAATTTAATTTACTGTGTATATGAAATTTCATACTTCAAAAAAAAAAAAAAAAATCAGTAAAATATTTTGTTTATTAATTTGGTTATTGCATACTGTGTATAAGTACATACATACTTACATGCGATCAAGTTCCAAACAAAACCTTATAGAATGTACTAACTTAAGATGTAAAATGCATATGTAACATGTAACCACATCTATGTGCCTGGGTGTATCTATCTATTTAAGGTACTGGATAAACTACCAAATTAGTGATATTAAACTAGGAATTCAAACTTTGAGTTGATTTGACTCACTAAAAAATGCAAGTGAGTTGAATTGTGAGCCGACCTAAGTCGCATATTATCGAGACCAATCTTAGTTTAATATATTATTTGATATGATAAAGTTAAATGAACGTGTTGCATCTATCTGGAGTATGGACAAATATCTAAAGTAGTACCTGACTAAATTAGTTCTGTACAAGCATAAAGATGGCTAAATATCTAAAGTACTAAACCAACTATTCCAAATAGGTCGCTACTCCAAATGTAGCATACACAACAATGATAATATATTTTACCAAATAATGATAATAATTTGACTAAACCGAACTCCTAACAATCAATTAATACAATTATAGTAATAACTGAATTTGAATGAATTAATATATTAAAAGGCATTGTAACGGTTATGAATAATCTACCTGAATCATCATCATCCGGATATTGAAGGGAAAATATACAATAAAAGAATTCAAGCTTTGTGGAATGTTTATAATAATTCATTTAATTGGGCATGGATTACAATCAGACCTGTTTAAATACAAGGTCAAGATCAGTAGACTATTTATGTATTCATTTTTATGTACTCATTGGTAAAATATTCTTTTTACAAAATATTTTTTTACAAGAGGTTTGCTCAAATTTTTTTTACAGTTTAGAATTTTAATCAATCGAATGTTAGAATTTCATGTAAAGATTATCAGATAAAATTTTACTGTTAAATTAATAATCAAATAATACCTTATTCATGATCGTTATTCAGTAAAGCGGTTTATTGTATTTAGTAAAAGTGGTCATACAATTTGTTTTTAGCTACTAATTTAGTTTCTTATGTTTTTATTTATTTTTACACAGGATATTCATTTAGATAATTCGTTTGGATAATCTATTTGGATAATCCATTTTTATAAATTATTTGGATAAATTTAATTGTACGTATAATAATCAAGAAAATGACGCCAAGTTGTCAAAACGCTTTTATGCATGCAGCTGCTCAATCGCCCGCATGGAATAGTTATAAGTATTTCTTGGCATAATATCGGCTAAATACGTAACTAGTCGGTCAAATGATCTCCGGTGAAGGCGTAACTACATGCATGTATTCTAACCATAAATATAATTAATGCATATATGGATATTTATGCAGATAATACTATATTTGGTGAAATAACAACCCAGGCATCATTTCGAGACATTCAATATAGTACATTTAATTTTATAGATAGCTATTATTTTAAATTATATACTCTTTTTAAATTGCGTATCTCAAAATAATATCCATGGGCATTGTTTCGCGCGAATACAAAAAAATTTCAAATATTTTTAGAATCCAAAAATAATATTTTTCTTACCTTATATGACATTTCTTGTAGTTTATGTAAAGATACATTGTGAAAACGGATTTGTATTATTTCACTGACAATCATCTTATCGATAAGCAGTTTAACCATCATATAGCCTGAAAATTTACAATTTACAACTTACAATACTGTAATAATATGTTAAATTGTCACCATAAGTGATGTCGGCTAAACAATTTGTCTGTGAAATAATTGTCGATAAATTGATTGGTAAAATTAGAAAACAAACAAAAATTTTTCCGAAAAGCATTCGTGTTACACAATATATTTGGACTAAAATTAATTAATTCTGGAAAACTGAGGGGTTGTAAATAATCAGTTATCCGAAGCTAGAAGTTTCTCAATTCGATCTTGGTCTTGGTAATTTATGAAAACTTAGGGTGTAAAATCGAATCAGAAACTTATAGATTAGTTACAGGCAATTTTTTCGCTGCTACTGTTGGGTTCGGAAGATTGCGACTCGATCGCTCCACAATCCAAAATCTCGTGTAACATACTATAGGAAACCTTTTCGAAAGAGGGTGTTAGATTTGGCTGGTGGTGATTAAGGCTTTCGGTTACTTTGGGTCAACGAAAACAAGTTGGATAAGTCACGTGAACAAGAACTTGAACGAACAAAGATGTTTAGAAGGGTTTACAGTGTTTATACTGGGTATAGTGTTAGGGTTTTATTATGTACGATACAATGTATTGGGACTTGTTATTTTATAAAGCAAACGAAGCATGCTGCTCCTAAGGGCCATTTCAGCCTTTATTTATAATACTAAATTTGTCGCTTACAAATGCGACTTTGCACTTATTATTCCTTTAAGGCTACCTAATGTTATTTACACTGATCTATTTAATATCTTTACTAATATTTAATTTCTTTTTATTTCCTACCCTTCTACCCCTCTGCATCTGATATACCGTTCCCGATCACAAATGTAACTTATTGCATTTCGTGTATTTTTCACATGATCGGTCACGATATTCCGGTATCACACTACAGAATTTATTAATTATCGCAATACTGCAGTACATAGTAAAGACAACATTCTTTAGATGGGTTTGGTCGATTATCAGGCTTGACGCGAGAATCTGAATTCTCAACTTTCCGGAGTTATTTGTTCAATCACCGATACTTTCATTCATTAAATGCTATTAACATATTGCTGTTACATTATTTGCACTTGACGTTTATGCATAAATCAAACTTTAAGTAGCACCGTCTGAGATGAGGTACTATCGCATTTAGTTGCCTAACCTTTCGATTTAGTGGCATGATCACTTTGTATTTAGTGAATTAATAATCTTGTTTTTTTTCTTGTCATTTATGTGTATATTATGCACTGTACTGAATATAACTTATATGGTCTAAAAATAGTCGTGCAGAAACATGCCAATAATACATACGTGCGAAAATAATTATACACGCCAAAGATTGAGGTCTAATACATTCGCGCTTTAGGAATTGTATTATTTCATAGTAAAATTCCATAATCAAATAAAATTAAACCTATTTTTGCTAGAATTTTTTGCTTAGAGTTTATTTTATATAACGTTTAGGGTTAACTATATAAACTTAAACGTATGCGTGGGTACATACGTATTAAATCTTGTGATTTCTAATACTGATACATACACATATACTTGCCAAGATTGTTGCAGATCTGATAAAAAATCAATAACTTTCGAGGTTATTTTTAGAAAAAATTTCTATATAAGTCATGTGAAAATTTATATATAGTAATATTTCCATGAGGTCCATTTTGACAATTTTTTTAAAAAAAAATTTATTTGACTTTTTTGGATAGACATATATTCAATAAAAAAAAAGCTTGCTATAAATGACAAGTTAATTATGTAATAAAAGGATTCACAAAACGAACTTAAAGTAAAAAATTTTATATATGTTATTATCTGATGATCTTTTATATCGATATGACGCGTCTTTGATTTAAAATTAGTAATGTTGTTATAATATTATTACAGTCAGACACATTATAGTCGCTTTTGGTACAGTCACAATCTTGTTATAGTTACACTACTAGTTAGTATTAACTATTATAAAACATAGTACTTTTGAATCTTCATATAGTCACAACTTTTAATAATCGCTAATCAAGATCTGACTGTATTAGGTTATATTAATATTTTTAAAGTTCTTTGTAAATTATAGAAAAAAAAAGGAATAGATTGATTTTAATGAATAAAATAAATATTTCTATTCTAAAATTCCTTTATATAAACAGCCTTCTGAACCTCTTCAGTTCGATACGAATTATTTCAGTTATTAATAATTAACTGTTTCGTTTACGATCAATTCAAAAAAATTTATCGATTAATTCAAATTATTATTATATTATTATTTATCAAATCAAAATTTAATAAATTCATTTTTTTAATCATGAAATTCAACTTTACTACCTTGTTTTTGATTTTTCTCGCTGCCTGCGTATTGGCAGTTCCAACTCCAATAGGTATTGTTTTTTTAAAAAAAATAATATTTGATTATATTCATTATGATCATATAAATTTAATAACTCAATTATTTTTAATACTATATTTTAGAAAACGCTAATGAAATAGGTAATATATATTTTATCATTTTTGATGATTTGTATTTTATGCCTGAATGATATAGTTATTAATATGATACTTATGGCTTATTTGATATATTCAGTACATGAAGATAAGCGTGAACCTGGGCATTCTGGACATAAAGGACATGAGCATGACGGAGATGAAGATTGGTGGAAGAGAGATCCTGGACATGGGCATTACGAACATAAAGGGCATGAGCATCACGGACATGGAGATTGGCGTAAGAGGGATCCTGGACATGGGCATTATGAACATGAAGGACATGAGCATCATGGACATGGAGATTGGCGTAAGAGGGATCCTGGACATGGGCATTACGAACATGAAGGACATGAGCATCATGGACATGGAGATTGGCGTAAGAGGGATCCTGGACATGGGCATTACGAACATGAAGGACATGAACATCACGGACATGGAGATTGGCGTAAGAGGGATCCTGGACATGAAGGACATGGGCATCACGGACATGAAGGACATGGGCATTACGAACATGAAGGACACGAGCATCACGGACATGGAGATTGGAAGAAGAGAGATCCTGGATATAAAGGAGTTTATTATCTAGTATCTGGACCTTAGCGTTAGGAGGGACATAAAAGAAAGGTCACAAAAAAAAAATATTTATGGTTATAAAGATAAATGTAACTAGATGTGATGCTTTGGTCAATGATTCTACGAATTTTCTTTCATAATGAACATAATAAGTTGAAAGGTTTTGAAGTCATTATTTATTATTTAAATAATGATTTGTTATTGTATAAAAGCTTTTTATTGTATTATCATTGTAATATTTTTGTAAAAATATATTTTTATTTAATAAATTATCTCAATTTATTTTTTTGTTTTAAATTTTCTTGTTTTGAAATATTCACTATGTTATGGCAATAATAGGTCAAATTCATATATGTATATCGTGCTTGAAGTTGTTCCTCACTTGGAATAGTAATTTCCGGCGTACGTAAAGTCGTAAAATTACGCCAAATTATAAAATTTTCTTTTTTAAATTACCGTAAATTGCTAAAAAATAGGGCTTTTGTTCTGAAATTTTTCGTAATATATTTTATTATACAGGAGCAACTGTTCAAATTCATAAACATTTTACGATACTTCTTTTAAAAGCTCGGATAGCTTAACTTTATATGAAACAAGATAATACTCTCGCTTCACCTTATATCATCTTTGAATCCTTATGAATCCCACAACTTTTTTTGGTAATCTAATTGGCCTATTACTAAAATTAGAAATATGATTGGTTGATAATCACGTTTAACTATATCGGAAACATCTACGAATTTGAATGTTATTTTATACAATATTTTTCTTTGGAATATTTTAGTAAGGGTTTTATAATTTTTCTGCTATGCGATGTATCGTTGTTCTGAGTCATTTCACAATTTAGGTCGATTCCAAATTAATCTAGGTCATTCATGAATTTTGAAATTACCTAGGTCATTTCTCAATCGGTGAATTTTTAAAAATTTAAAATTATATGCCCAAGCGATAAATTATATAGCCCAAGCAATAATATTAATTATATTATTAAAGATCTTTTATTTATAATAAAATTTAGCTATATTAGCAAAAATGCTTTAATGTTTCAATAAAAAAATAAAAAATTGTATAAATAAAAAATGCACAATACAAATAAATAATAAAAATCCGCATAATTAATAAAAAATGCGCAATACAAATAAATAAAAAAAAAAACAATAAAAAAATGTATGTTAAGGCATAAAAAGTTTTCAACAGGACAAACTTGCGTCACCAGATCGTTTAATCGTATAAAGTCCTTCAGTTGCACCAATATTTAAACTTTGGGTTATATATGTCGTTGGGATTTTTAATTACAATTAAACATTTATTATATTTATTTTGATCCATTAAACAGCGATTGTTTTTCCTTTGATGAATAAAAGCTTTTAATATTCGATCAAAGGTTTCACACGTCAAAAGGTCGTAACTTTCTATATTAAGAATTAATAAAACAAAGAAGTTGTATTTATCGATAAAGTTAAACATTCGAAAAGTTTTATTTGTTTATTGATTTTTGTTTTTTTTTGCATTAATTTGATGTACGTAATAATTTCGGGTTCTAAGTTCTATTAAATTTTGGGATCAAATGATACCCAAGTGAAGTGACAAATAAACACTGACTAATTTATTTATATAAATAAATTAGTTGGTGCTTATTTGTCACATAGGTGATTGGTCACACCCATCCTTAAATTACGCGGTATTGCACCGTCGTTGGTGTGACAAATAATTGCATGATAAATAAGCACTAACTAGTTTATTTATATATAATTAGTCACACCCTTATGCTTAAATTTCGTAGTGCTTCATTAAAAATTGACCTGGGTCATTTCTGAATGGGTGAAAATTTATGAATGACCTAGGTCAATTCGGAATCGACCCAAATTGTGAAATGACTCAGAACATCGTCACTTATAAGATCATGTGTAATGCTAAATCAAAACAATTATAAAAATGCGTTAGTTTAAGGTTAGAGCATAGAGTTGGACGTGGCTTTAAAGAAAAGAGCTTCTTTTAATCTAAAATTTTACAAGGAATTTTTTTTTTAATTAGAACGTAAGAGGTGGTTACATATGCAAAATCTTGAGTTACAGACGATTATTCAAAAAAGACAATGTATTGCTTCGATTTCACATTACACTGTGCAGGAGTCGCTATTGAGATAAATTACAATAACCTTTTATTATATCAAATTTTGGTTATTTTTCTCACATGAATTCATCACACATATAGATCAACAGATATACACGTGCATTCGGATATGTAATTACAGAGTACAATTTGAATACAAAAAATGCAAAGGTAAGCGATGTTATAGTTGCAATAACTAAAAATAGTAAAAGCAAGAATTTTAGACTCAAAAATTGGTAACCCGACACAGATTAATTTGTCTATTTACCTTATATTTAACATTAATTTTCATTTTTTTCGTAGGATTTTTTATTGGATTGATGGAATGTTAATCAATGATCGTTAAAGGCAATAGCAAAATAATTTTCCGGATAACTTGATAAATTATTATATGATGCCTTGTAAACTTCTGTTCGATTGTCTAATGCCCAGTAATACATATCAAATGCTTCATAATATATTAATGAGATACTAAATCAGTTCTCGTTTGTACGTTACTCAACAGGAGGAAACGTTGATGTTACACAATTGATTTTACACGCGGTGTGAAACACGTAAAAAAATTTTTTTACAATACTTGAACAATCTTGATCAGTCAGCTAGTAGATGTTATGATTATAATCCAACACCAT